GGGGGGGGCACCATGCTCAGCTCCAATTTCCCTTTCTCATTTCTCTCCAATGCCAATTAAGATCTGCACACAGTTGATCTAATTTCCTATCAACTGTTGGCCATCTCAGTTAATGTGGAGTCAAGGGCCAACAACCCAGCTTTTCTCTCAGTTATCTGGAAGTCTCAGAGTGATGACGCATGGGACAGAAACTGTGCGACCAGGATCATACTCCCAAGTGCGGTGGCAGATACGTTTCCTTCAAAGGCTGCCTTGCTATCCAAAGTTTTACACTCCCTAACCTGCCCCCTCGGTCTCCATCCTCAGGCCACATCTTCATTGGCGTGGCCTAGTGTGAGCTCACAGGCTCACTGCTCCCTGAAGATCTCCTACCCTAAACTCAGCCAGGGGAAAATCAGCATTTAGTGTTTGCAAGTGAGAGAAATGAGGAGTGCTCTTTCAAACCTCCAGTTCATCAGAAAAGCAGGGGAGCCATAAGCCACACAGTGGAATTAGAAGTCACCACTGTGTTCCTTACCCCAGTTCTTTGTAGAACAAGCACACAGTTAACAAGAGGAAAAGTGAGGTTCCAAACCATAGAATGTACCCTCTTCTCTACTTGAACATAGAGCCTGTTAGCTGATCTTTTGAAAGAGAAATCTCTGGAAAACACTCAGAACAGGAGCTGGAGGCTTCCTCTTAGAGGAACAAAGGTGGCAGGAGTAGGCTGCTGCTAAAGAGACAGGCCAACCCCAGCCTCAGCCCGGATTTCGTGCAGCTGCAGTGGTGGGGCCCGGCCTGTTAGCATAATGCTGTGACAACTCCATCAGTGCAGTCTCAAGGTGGCTGTCAATCAGGACGCATCATTTAATCCAACAGCACTCGGAGGACTTTCTCCTACAACCCGCATGACAGCATAGCTACAGCTCTATTTATATCAGCGCCCAGTTGTGTTTACAACGCTGCAGTAATTAGAGACGATGCAACAGGCAGCAATATTATTGAGATTTCCATTTTGCAGTATTACCCTGTAAAGTGTGATCCTGCTTCACAGAGTCATGCTAAATGACAAAAGGCTATTTTCTTCCCTCTCCCAGTCCCCGACAGCACTTCATTTGCAGCTATCTGTAATTAGATTAATGGTGTAGTGCAGTACAAAGCAGGCCTCTTCACATCAGATAGCTTATGAATTAGGACAAACACTTATTTCAATTCCAGGCAGAGAAAGCAATGACTGGGGTGTTTAGCATACCCTTTATGGTGGAATGAGATGTTAATTGTGTACCATTACCTCTAAACTGCTTGCTTGTTGTATAAATCACTGTGCTAATTGATGCAGAGATAGAAATGTAGCCACAGGCAAGAAAGCAAAGGAATGAGAGCTGAAGACGGAGGGT